TACTCCTTATTAGGCGAACATCAACCATATGTTTATATAAATTTGTAATTAATTGGATGATATTATGATATGTGTAGTTGGAGGATAGAATAAATGTATATTGAAAATAAAGTTAATGACACATGCAAAATTAAATAGTAGGTCAGTGTACGTAGACAGTGGGATGGTGTGTATTCAATTTATAATATAATGAGGGCAATGTACGTATACACAAGAGTATAATTGTACTGAAATGTTTAATTGACATTGACATATGGATAGTTAGAGTGTAAATGATATGAGTTAAAAGGAATTATAAGAGCTATGTTAATTTTGAATTTGAGTTTAAGAAATAATAATGGTTGGTGTTTAGTGGATTAGATCGGATTTGGACGGATTGAAAATACACTGATAGGATAAAATATGAATGGAGTATAATGGTTCTAATTCACTATAATCTCTTAAAAGGCAGAAATTTGAAATCAGCTTTAAAAGTACAAATAATTTACTTTAAGGGTGAGTCTGGTAGGAGAAAAATGTTTTCCAATTCATGTTTTAAAAAATAATTTTTAAATACTTTTTTTTTTTTAATTTAAGAAAAATGACTTTCTTCGTAAAATAAGAAAGATATTTTTTATCCCTTTCAACCTTACTATCCGACCCGATCCATGACATGACTCCCAACCCAACCCGAGAACCAACTCCGAGTCCAACTCAGGACCTGAGATCCGGGACCCGAAAGTGCCGAAACTCGACTCTCAATCTTGATCTGGGACCTAAGAGCCGACCCCAACCAGACTCTCGATTCCTACCTTATAGCTTGACCTCGATTCTAAAATAGAACTGGAGACCCAACTCGACCTAGACTCCGGACCCGACTCTCGACCCTAACTCAGACCCCCAACTACCAAACTTGACCCGATACACGAACATTGATCCTGAACCTAACTCTTGATCTCAACCAGACTCCATCTTGGAACCAAAACTCCAACCCGAACTTGGAACCCAACTAACTCAGGACTCGATCTCCAACCCGAGGTTGGGTGTGGTACAAGGGTGGGGGATAGGTGGAGGTAGGGATGGTTGGATAGTGCAAAGGGTTCATCTATATATTTTATAGAGAGTAATATTATTGACTTGCATCATAGTGTTCATCTATCAGATGATAAAAGGGTTCATCTATATATTTTATCAAAGTTTTTCTTCATTGATCATAATCACAAGAAATGAAAATTCCTTTTGGATAGAAATCTCTATGACATGCACAGTTCAAAATTCGTTAGATAATGATTTCGTCTCTCTGTCCTTTTCCACTTAAATATAGAGTTTCTTGTCTGCAACAGAATTCGGCCCGAAAAATACGTTCTTTAACTAACGCCTATACTGAATAATTCCAAGTAGAACTCTGTCTCCTCAGTTTTCCTACAAAAGGGAGTAAAGAAGCATACTTGGCTTCTCAAAAACACACTAAATACAACATACATATAACTCAAGATCAATCAAAGGGAACAAAATGAAAACTGAACCTTTGCTCCACCGTGTTATACAGCACTCAGCGTGATGAATTGGTTAGAATGAAGATAGACCAGCGATTTGTCGGAATTTCTCATATGATACCCAGAATACAAATTGCCAAGGGCCAAGTCTTGCCCATGTAGGAAAGAATCCCTTCCACAATGCTTTGAGTCCTTCAACTTTGACCGTTTTGACAAGACAATCGTAGGAGTTACTATATTTGCAATTCCCTTGCTTATCGGCAGCCTGATTCATCATTCTTGTCTTAATTACATCTGCTGGACAGCTCAATGTTGTTGCTGACAGGCCTGACATTATGGATGATAAAGTGTGTGCATATATATTATCATTTGCTATGTTGTTATCGATCACAAAGCGTTTTGCATGATCATAGCACGCTAGTTCTCCCATGTTAACTAAAAAAGCTCTCTGGATATTTGGGAGCACGCCTTTCCAAAGTCCCCTGACACCTTCAGTTCGAATAATCTTGTTGAAAGCATCAAATGGCCCGCAATATCGAGGTTGCAGACCCTGACTTACCATTCTACTGTCTGCTTGCATCCTAACTTTGACAAGATCAGCTGGGCTCGCCACAACCTGAATCACAAGAAGACATGCAACTATAACATGTTCCACAATGAGTCCTGTTGAAGTAAGGAATTGAAAGCTTAAGCACAGGAACCTCGTAAACTTAAATTTTTTTTGAATTGGTATATCACACTCCAATTCTTTTCTTTTCTTTTTTTGAAAAAAAAACAAGTAGCAGATCATTCATCAAATTTTTCTTTGCTTATCAGTATCAACATTTCTTTTAGCGATTTGTCAGCTGATCATACTTAACGTTCTTCCCAACATGCACAAAGCTACGGGATATCAGAGATGAAAAACATAAATAATTTAGCGTCATGTGGTATCTTAAAAATGACTAAATTAAAGATGAGAAGAGAAAGGGTTTGTAGATGATACAATCTTTGGTGGAGAGATAAGATGAACTAGTAAAAATACTTAAGTGATTAAGTCACAAACATGAATGGATACATACTTCTATCCGAGTGCACCTACCAACATCTATATCTCAGTACAGTAAATAAAATTTCAAAACAAAAGGAAACTGCTATAAAGAATGTTTAAGACAGCTGATGTTTACTCAGAATGAACAAATTAATCAAAAAGAGAACTACAAAGAACCTTGTATTCTTCTGGTCTGTAAAAATAACAAATCATGACACCCAATTTTGTTCCAGTGATCACTAGTCCTTCATCTGCTTACTCAAAAGTTCGGGTAGCACCAAGGAAATAAAGAATTGACCATTGAGTCTTCTCTCTCTTTGAAGGGTTACTCTTCATTTAAAGTAAGCTAAAGACGCAGGGGACACCACAAATGAGGCAATCCGCTCTATAAACAAGAAGATGACCATTGATGGCTTATAGAAAACCAATTCATAGCTAACATATACATTTTCAGAATTCATATGGACTTGGTAAGAACTGACCACAACAGAAGCAAATACTTACACCCGATACCAACTAGTAGATGTTAAAACTTAGTTGTGGTGAAGAGTTCTTAATTGTTTTGCTTAGAGACTCGTAAGTGTTTTCCCGGAGTGTTTTCTGATCTTTTTAGTGTTTTAAGACATGAAAAATCTTTTCCAACTGAAAAGTTCTGCAATATAAAGGGATATCAGCTCTACTCACTCACTGCATTAGTCATGTATCAAACTCTAATGACCACCTAACTCAAAATTTGTGAAACTATTTCACTAATAATATTGTTTGATACCAACTTTTCAGTAATTCAATTTGTTTAACTATCTAAAGTTTAAACCTTGAACAATGTTTTCCTTATCAAACTAATTTTCAGCCACTTTTCCATTACATGTTCTTCCACTATTATTAACAAAGTCAATACATCAAACCAAAATATTCCTCTCTATCTAGTCAAATTCCTTCATATACAATTAAAACAAGATAAGTGTTGCGGTAGCGCGTGTGCCTAGTTGTTAATGAAATGCATTAAGCACAATGAGGTCTCAAGTTCAAATCTCAGCTCCCATGTATCCCATGGAATTAGTCGAGGTAAATCAGACAGAGTTAACAGGATATCTCCAATTCATTTAGCTCAAACAACAATGCAATTCCAAAATTCAATGAGATTTCAATTTACCTGAGCAATAACACCAGATATTCCACCAATAATAGCTTTGCTTGACAGAGAAAGTGTATGATCAGCAGGAACCAAAAAATTCCTCAAAAATTCATAGTTTACGATTCGAATTGGAGTGTAAAACATATGCCTTATAATCGCCGGTGACAATCCCTTATATAGTCCTAAAACGCCGTCGTTTCGTAAGATCTCCGACACTACTCGGACGGCTGATGTCCGTCGAGACGAAACAAGAGATTCGCCGTGGAGTTGAAGCCTCGTCTTTATGAGGTCAATCGGAAACGTCACTGTTTCCGCCGCCATTGCCGACATGGCCGTCACGGCTAACTTTGTTGTATGGGCTCTCCGGCCATCGTTAAACTCTTGGGCTTTCATTGAGCTAGTGGTCCAGGCCTGAGGGGCATCAGTGAAATAGACGTTAAACACTCATCTTTGAAGCTGGCCCATCTTCAACTCTTGGGCCATGGCTAAGCTTGATGGACGAAGTGTAGAGTTTTTATCCCGACCTAAGATACTTACAGACTAGTGTGATTCACATATATTTGAGATACTAGATATATAGGAGAGTGACGAGCTACATGGGAGAGAAGCGAGGGAGGCGAGCAAGATTTGCTATGCACCCAAGATTTATACGAATCCATTTGGATATAGTATATCTAAAACAAATTACACCTAATTTTGATCCCCATGTATCTCGATATACATGTATTTAAGCTTATCTAATATTTGAATGCATCAAAGTCTGATAAAAATTGTAATATTACAAGCTAAGTGTATCTAAGTAATTCGCTCTTAAACTAGTCAGATTTATGTGAGTTTTGTTATTTTTTTCAATTAGTTTTTTCTAGCAATTTTTTTTAATTAAGGCACATGATCTATCGACGAACCTTCGAGGAAAAGTATTATAAATATAATGCTCACGCATATTTTTTTTAGATAAGTTTGCAATTATATAGATAACTTGCAAATAACTCAAATAGTCAACTTACTTACAAGTAGCTTAAACAAGAAACTTACAAATAACTTAAATCGACAATTTACAAGTAGCTCAAACTGACAAAAATATTATAATATATCGTGGATGACATATTGTGAACTTTTCTTTTTACCAACATTTTTTTCTTCTATAACTACAAAGTCAATTCAATTCTTTTACATATTTATTCGAACTTGAATCATATATCAATTTCTCTTTATACACTACATTAATATAGTCTTTATTTTTCATTTTTGACCTCTCTTTTTCATAAACATTGAAATTAATAAGTTAAATATATGGGTAATAAGCTATAGGGTCTTTTGTTGTTTTTTCCAAAAGTAAAGGGACCATAACAAGCATTCTTGATTCTACAAACCTTCTTCTTCGTCGCCTTCATATCTAAAGCCTCGACTGTGAGAGGGTTTAAGCAGTCGGAAACACCATTGCTCCGCCGCAGCGCCTCCTCTCTCAGTTGCGTAAGCTCATCAAATAATCGCCAAAAAGATGTATAGAAGTAGAGCCACCATACTCACATCCAAATCATTGAGAACTTTATCAAAGGTAAGCAGACAATCTCTTCATTTAGAATCGTTAAAGTTCGTTACTTTTTTAAGAAGTATCAGCACTGCTACTCAAATATCTGAGATTGATAATTATAGTGAGTTAAAGGGGGGAAATAACAGTGATTTTCAGCAAAACCCAGATGGGGATTTCAATTATAACTCGAACAATACGGGTTCTTTGAATAAATCAAACTGGCAGGGTCAGGAATGGGCGTATAATCAGCAGTTATCTCGTAGCACGCAAGGCGGCGGGAGTTATAGTGGAAATTCTAGGAGAATAGAGCAGAACCCTAGTGGGGCTAATCCGCAAAAACCTAGAACTGAATTTCATGAACAAAAAGATACCAAAGGGTTTCAGCAGAACCCATATGCGAAAAATGAGAACTTTTCATCTGGGTATGTTAATGTTTCATCTAGGAATGAGTTTCAGCAAACTGTTGGGAGAAATAATGATTTCGGGTCTCGAAAGGATTATCAAAGTAATTTAGTTCATAATAGAAATGATAGTGGTGAAAATTCGTCAAATTTGTTGCGTAGTTCCAGGTTTGAGGGAGGTTTAGAGGCTCAGCCTAGTCAAAATGGAGTATATGGACACTATCAACAGAATTTACATGGTGGAAACAGTGAAATGTCACGGCAGAATTTTAGTGGCAATTACACGAGTAACGTAGGAGTGCCTCAGCAAAACCTTTCCAATTACGACCCTGGAAATGTAAGGAATGTTAAATCTGAAAATTCTGAAATGTATCCACAAAATGCAAGTGGGTATAACATGGAAAGGCATACGAATTCAAGTGGCTACTCAAGGGAGATGATGGGGCAATATCAGCAAAACTTAAGCGGCTTTAACCCCTCTAGTGCTGGACATCAAGCTTCTTATCAATATCAGAATGGAATAGTTGGCCATCAAGAAATGAGAAGTTCAACACCTGTCGAACAGTCGATTGATTCTGATGATAGCAGCAGTAAAAAAGGTTCAGTTGATGAGCTTGATGACTTATGTAAAGAAGGCAAAGTAAAGGAGGCAGTAGAAGTTTTGCAGTTGTTGGAGCAGCAACATGTCACAGTCGATTTGTCTCGATATATTATGTTGATGGATGTGTGTAGTGAGGATAAATCCCTTGAGGATGCTAAATCAATTCATGAGCACCTTGCGAGATCTCATCCTCATCTTGACATCAAAATGTACAATAAGATTCTTGAAATGTATGGAAAATGTGGCTCCATGAAAGATGCTTTCTTGGTGTTTCGAAAAATGCCTCAACGTAATCTGACTTCTTGGGACACAATGATTTCATGGCTTGGTAAGAATGGTCTTGGAGAAGATGCAATAGAATTGTTTGGAGAATTCAAGGAAACTGGGATGAAACCTGATGGCCAAATGTTTCTGGGAGTCTTCCATGCTTGTAGTGTTGTTGGTGATATAGTTGAGGGCATGTTGCACTTTGAATCAATGAGTAAGGATTATGACATTGATCTATCCATGGAGCAATATGTTGGAGTGGTAGATATGTTGGGAAGTACAGGATATCTTGATGAAGCTATGGAGTTCATTGAAAGGATGCCTATAGAGCCAAGTATTGAAGTATGGGAAACCATGATGAATCTCTGTAGAATTCATGGGAACTTGGAGCTTGGGGATCGTTGTGCTGAGATTGTTGAGCTCCTAGACCCATCTTGTTTGGATGAACAGTCAAAGGCAGGTTTTTTGGCTGTAAAAGCATCAGACATCGCTAAGGAGAAAGAGAAGAAGAAATCTGCTCAAAGTCTTCTTGAGGCTAGAAGCAAAGTTCATGAATATCGTGCGGGAGATAGGTCACATCCCGATCATGAGAAGATATATGCATTGCTTAGGGGTTTAAAGCAGCTAATGAAGGAGGACGGTTATATACCAGAGACGAAGTTTGTGTTACATGATGTAGACCAAGAAACTAAAGAGGACGCTTTAATGGCTCACAGCGAGAGATTGGCTTTTGCTCAAGGTCTTATGAATAGCTCTGCACGATCACCAATCCGGATTATAAAGAATCTGCGTGTCTGTGGTGATTGCCATAATGCATTGAAGATTGCTTCAAAGCTTGTTGGTCGGGAAATTATCATGCGAGATGCTAAGAGATTTCATCATTTAAAAGATGGATTGTGCTCGTGTCGGGATTATTGGTGAAGATCCTACCATTCAGGTAATACTTAGTATATTACTCTTTTATTGTCATCTGGAAGATCTTTTTTCCTTTCCATTTTTCTTTTACTTTCTTTCCTTGTGTCAAACGAAGGACATAAGCATGAAATTACCAAACTTTATAACCAGATACACTAGATGTAGTTTCACAACCAGGGACTGCGACTCTAAGGAGTAAGGGCATTACGCCTAAGTCCTAACATTTGTTGGCATTTCTTAAGAACATGTTCAGTTTCCCACTCATTATTATGAAGATCAATTAATGGACTTTTATCCTATCCCAGAGAAGCTACATATTTCTTACATTCTTTGGAGAAGTTAAGATTGGTACACTACAAAAAAATTGACCTTTCAATTAAAAAGTTTGACCCATCGTTAAACCCATATTTAAATACTGTATGTTAGTTTTTCCCATGGAGCTCTTGCAGTAGTGAAACATATTAAAACAAGATGTTATTTGTTACTTGCTTCGAATAGATAATACCAGAAATGCTTATGGTGCTTCAAGCATGTTGAGCAGATTGCTTTCTTAAGATGGTCTACTTCATAGATAATATGAAGTATGAGTATTTCAATGACCATCCTGTATGCTTATTATGATTGAGAATATGATGGCACTTTAGAACGCCTATGTACTAAGGCTGATTACTGTAATTTCTCTGTATCCTCTGTGTTTACACTTTTACAGATCAGGAGTTTCTGCAGTTTTCTTTTATAGTGATTTGCTTGGTGGAATGGAATGCCCCCCTTGTATTTTTCTTTTAGAAGCATATTTTGAGGTTAAGCAGCAAACTAAGGATATTTCATATTATTCCCAAACAAGTAGAGATGCATTATATTGTTGTTTGTACCATTTTCAGTGGTCGTCTAGGATATTCTTTTCCAAAGTTTTGTAAATATTTCCAGGTTCGTCATCTTTTGAATACAATCTTGTTTGAATGCTTTATTTTTCGTGTTGATTTATATGATAACTTCATTGTAAAAAAGTTTTAACTTTTCCGACCATGTAATTCTGAAGCATATTTTTTTTGCAGCTTTAGCACAGCCAAGACTCAAGATTGTAGAGCATAGCTATAATTCATAGCAGATGGGATGATTTCCACTTACACTATATCGGCAAGTACCTACCATATTTAATGCCACATGGCCTCTTGATTTGGTTAGTGCTGTTAAAGTGTCAATAGGCATAAGTTGTCCAGAAAGGATACAAAGGTGAGTGCAATAGCAGATACTGAGTTATTGTTCTGAAGATAGTAAAGGACGAGCAACCAGGTTTTTTGACTCATCGAGAAACATAAAGAGCTTCTATACTCTGTTCACCCCGGAACAAGACCAGACGAAGAAAACCCATCTTCTCAAACCGGATTAGCTAGATAGTTGTAGTTTTCGGGGACGGATGTCCATGAAGGGAGTTGTTTTCTAAGTCTGAAGCTAACTGTTTCACATTCTGAAGTATAGAGATTAATAGGATAGGATCAAAATATTTTCATTTTGAGTACTTCCATTCTTGTTATGGAACAGTAATATTAGTAACATGGCTGTTGTATCCTTGTGCTTTGATGGTCTCCTTTTTCATGTTTGAACATGGCTATTGTTTATGCAGTGTATTCAGAAATTACTAACTTATCCACCAAATGCCTTCCTTGAATTGTTACCTTCTTCGCTGGTGTTTGACTGTAGATTTTTAAAAAATTTATCTTCAAATATCTATTTGGTCATGAAATGTGATCAGATTTTGATATTTGATCTTCAAGTATTTTCAAGTTTTTAATTTTTATCGGTTTTTGTGATCATGCTAAATTGATAATCAAATTAATAAGATGTTTATTATCGACTTTCAGTTAATCGATCTTTGGTCCTTAATGTGGTTTTCAAGAATAGAAATGCCAAACAAATTTCTACCCTTACCACTTTTGGTCAAGACATAATTGCTTGAAATCCTTCCAAGTACTTATGCAATAAATTGTGGAAATAACATTAAATGTCCATCTTTGTCACAATTAAATCTAAAATTGAGAGCGGAAACAATATTAATTGTCCATCTTTGTCACAACTAAATTTAAAATTGAGAAGAGAGAAATACAGAGTGAACAGTTACAATAGAAGTAAATGAACAAACACATTTTCAAGCAAACAAATACAACTTTCGAACAATTACAATAGAGGTAAATGAACAAACACATCTTCAAGCAAACAAATACAACTTTCGAACAGTTACAATAGAGGTAAATGAACAAACATCTTCAAGCAAACAAATACAACTTTATGAATCGTAATTAGACAACCTATATGATAGTTAAGCCACAAACTATAGTTTTTTGTTGGTTTCCACCCGGTGTCCGATAAATACACATTGGAGCCCGACTAAATCCAGATTCGCGCCGGAAAGTCTCATATTGGCGCTAAAGCGCTCCCTAACAAACCCCTCCTCTCCAATCCTCGACCAAATTTGCGTTCCCCGAGCGCTATGAAATGGGGCTAAATCCTCTCCTCTCCAATCCTCGACCAAATTTGCGTTCCCCAGACGCTATGAAATGGGGGCTAAAGCGGCCACAAACTATAATTGTTTTTGAAATTTTTCTCAAAAAGTTATTGGGATGTTGTGACTCTTACATTTCGGGTCGGGTCGGGTCGTGTATGAACATGGGCTTCAGTCACAGTGCACTCAAACATGAAAATGGCGGCAAATGCAGGAGCTGGATTCTTCTTCACACCATTGAAGCAGCAGAACCCAAAGCCCCACTTTTTCCTCTCTCTCTAAATCTCCTTTTCTCGCCGCTAACTCAATTACAAATCTTTATATGCATGATTTTTAATCAATTAGGGTTTTTTCTCCGCCGGAAAAGTAGATTTCTAAATCATCAGTAGCAAAATTTGTAAGAGCTGCACAAATGACGTGCCATACGTCTTCATCGGGATGCGATTTGGAGAAATTGGAGTCGTTGAGTGATGATTCCATAACAGAGATATCGGAAAACTGGAATGGCTTTTGCTCTTTGTCAGAAGCTCTTCTCAAAGGCAGTGGTGATTTGTCATTCAGCGATGAGTTTGTAATGCGAGCTAAGAATCTCTGCAAACATGGCCTTTCATCTCTAGTTGAACAACACTTCCTTCGTTGCATTGAGGTCTGCTCAATATTTTTACTTCATAGTGTTATTTTGTTTTGAATAAAATGTGCATATTCCGAAAGCAGATTGAAATACTAAAACTTCATAGCTACTCAATTTCGCTAAGTACAAGTAAAGATTGTTCCTTTTTGGAGGAAAATTGTGACCTGGATTATTGTTTCCTGCATTTGATTGAGTATAATAGTAGGTGGCATATGGTAATTATTCAAGGTATAATATTGGATATAAGTAGAAAAATGGAAAATGAGTTTCGCGCTTAAGTGACTGAATTAGTTTTCTTCTCTTATCATAAATTTTCGATTTTGGAGAAGACAATTTTAACTATTCAAGGGATTTAAATTGGGAATGTGTTATCACAGAGAATATTTTGGTTGATGAAATCATCTCAATGTTTGAATACCTTGGATTTGAAAATGTTTTCTCCAAGGTCAATATTCGAAATAATTGCCAATGATTTCATCAACCAAAATATTCTCTGTGAAAACATTTTCAGCCACACCATGCATAGTATGAATCATCATTTCCTAAATTTATGACGTAACCTAGTTTTTTGTATTTTAAAGCCGGTGTGACCATTATGACTCTAGTAGGTGTTTTTTTTTAACTCACGGTGACAATGTTGTGTTCGAACAGGAAATTTTTGAGAGAAATGGAGCAAAAAGGTTCTGGAGTTATTTTGAACCTTACAGAAATGCTGCACCATCTGAAACTAATAAGGATCTAGTACGTACATACGATCCTTTGTCATGTCATTCTACGTTAAAGAGAAGGCCTATTCTATGGAATTAGAAAAAATAGTTACTACTTGATTTTCACTGGTAACTTTCTGTGTCTGCAGATGCAGGATTATTGTTAATGAGGATTCTCTATGTTTGTCGTAATTTTTGGATTTTTGTACCTTCGTGTAAAGTTTTACACTTATGTTCCCAATCCAGTCTTACTTTGATAGAGTATGTGTACGTTACATGACCTAACAACCCATTTACACCTTTTTTAAGTAAGTGATTTAAACTTTTTACTGGTTTTAGTTATGATATTTTATGATTATCATAGTTTTCTTGGTCTTTACTTCTTTCTTCCATTGCTACAAATTTATTGAACATTGTCGCAATTGGCTTATATTTTGAATCTTAGCTTCCTTACAGGTAACTACATTTCTTATTTTTGGGAAGTAATTTACATGGAAAAATGTTTGTCAATATTATCTTGTCTAGCTAGCGGATATGGATGGTTATGTACTCGTTATTGCTGCTGATTCCATTTGCCGTATTACCAATTTTAATCTTTCTCAAGCGATGACTTGGCGATGACTTGGTTAAATCCTGATTGGTATTGATGCAGATTCTAGAAGAAGAAATTCAGCAAGTAATATGTAAAGCTTTGGAAGAAATATCATCTCAAAAGCAATTCCAGGAGAAGTGCCTATTATTGTTGGCTCGTGCTTTACAGTCCTATGAAGAAGACAAATTGCAAGGACAAGCGAACCCAGATTCTACTCGAGTTTATCTGTTCTCGAAATATCAACTAATTGTGTCTTCAGTTCTTTTGGCTAGCCTTCCTCACCATTTTCCTGGTATGTGGATTACTTCCTCGCTACATGATTGATCCTAAGATTGATTGTTTTTTTCCTATTTGAAGTTACAGTCCTAAGATAGTTTGTTCTTGGACCAATCATGTAAGCGAATCACTCCAATGTTCAATACCATTGCCTGGGGTTGTTTGCTGCAACACAAGAATTATACTTCTTTAGTCACTGGTTTACGGGTTTGGTTTCTGAATTTATAAGTTAGGTGATATGTCTTTACAATACACACACATAAAATGGCAAGGAAGAAGTTTGAAATTCTTATACATTTACATTGTCTTCAATTTTTCGGAAGAGAGAGTGGTAAGGGGATCTTGATATCAAAAGATGCTTCTATGGCTATGACCTATATAGTTTAAATTTTTAATTCTTTCTTATCCATCCCCTTACTATATTTTTTAGGGATACTTCACTGGTACTTCAAAGGAAGACTGGAGGAGCTGAGTACAATTGCAGCTGCGAACTCTGAGGATGAAGAGGAGTTAGGCATGGATGATAAAATGGATTTAGACGAGAAAAGCAAACTTCCCTACAAATGTGGTGACATGGATAGTGATATAAACCATAAATATACTGTATTTTCAGAGAACAATAAGTTGGTGAAGAACATCGGAATGGTTGTTCGTAATCTGAGAAATATTGGCTTTACATCTATGGCGGAAGATGCATATGCTTCTGCTATATTTTTTCTTTTAAAGGTATATGGCCTACAGTGATAAAGTTTCAGTTGATTTATCTACATTTTCAGTTGACATCAATCATATTGTGGTGTTTCTTCAGATTCTTGATTTTGTTAATTTGACAAAAAAAATTGTTTTAAATTATATAAATTAAACATTCATTTAATCTTGTACACAATTATTCTTTTGAATGTGGGTGATAGGACAAAGTACATGATTTGGCTGGTGATGACTATAGGAGCTCTGTTTTGGAGTCCATCAAAGCATGGATACAGGTTAGTCTCATCTGCGTGATCCCAATCTCATGTCTCAAAATACAGTGACAAAGGCCCTTTCAAAGTTCTATTTTGGAGTAGCAATACAAGGTCGTTTAAAATTTATCTTCGTCAGCACTAATAGAGTTGAGATAGTGGTGGTCATTTGACTCATTTGGGATGTTAGGTGACTGGCATCCTGAAATAAGAAATATTGTTTCCTTGCCTAGGGCACTAGTTTGGATTCCATTGATACCCTGCAATATGACAGACATTTTGAGTCAGATGGATCTAATGGTTTTGTTATGCTTTTAACCAATTTATTGATAGTTATACTTTCACTCATGTGATTTGTGTGTCGATAGCTTGGGAGGCATTGTATAGATGACAAAACAAATGACAGAATAACTTTGTGAAAGGTTGACTATATTATCTTGAATATCAATTCTACATGAGTTT